TCTTTTCAGTCAGGTCAAGTTTCTAAACTTTCTAAATCTCTGCTTTCTGGCTAATGAAAAGAAAATAGGATTCTACCAAGTCTCCTATCTACCTACTCTAGGACTTCTATGAGGACCAAATGAGATGAGGCACGGGAAAATGCTTCACAGACATTTGGTTAAAGTGTGAAATATCTGCACCTGGCTATAAAGCAAGTCCTATTCCTGGGCTGAAGAAACTCCAAGGAGGCTAGTCGCTAGGGAGAGGGAGCCAGGCATTGCTACGTGATGTCATTACCCGGCGCCCACAGCGACTGTTTCGGGCTGGGCTGGGCTGTGGGCCACATTTTGCACCATGGGGTCTCGGCAGTGTTGGCTGTGATTTGGTGGGCTATTGCTCTGGGGTGGTGGCGGGGCCTGTGTCCCACTTGGGGGAAGCCAGGTGTTGCTTTGTCAGCGCCAGGTCCATGGTGCCATTTCTCTGTAAATGGCCAGTGCACGTCACAGCAGCTCCTGCATTGCGCGTCATAGTGACCAGTCAGACAGTTGGAGGGACACTTAGCATGTTGGCCTTTTATATATATATATATAGATAGGTACTTAAAGTCTACAAACATACTGAACAGAGAAAGAGAATTTCTTTCCCTCCATTTTCTGTTTTCTTTTACTAAAATACCTATTATTATGTTAAACCTCACCTGAATTATCACATTTTCCGTTTCTTCTGTGCCCTACTGGTCTCCCTCTCCTCCACCTCCACCTGTCCCCACCTCTCCCTCTAGCTCTCTCCCTTTCTCTCTTGGCTTCATTTCCTTCCCATTTCCTATTTCTATTGTTTTCAGCCACCCAGCTTGTGGTGCTGTTACATCACCCATACCTACTTATTTATGTATCTGTCTCACTGACTGGATCACAAAATCCATAAAGAATCATGTCTGCCTCAAGCACTATTGTATCTAAAACATTACTGTACAATTGTATCTTTGAATGCCCACTGCCTCACACAAGGTGGGCATTCAAAGAAATGTATGAGAGGAAGGCACTTAGAAAGAAAATAGTTTCAGGTGAAAAGGTGTCAAATGCAAGTTTGTTTGTTTTTTTAAATATATTGTTATTGATTTCAGAGAGGAAAGGAAAGGGAGAGAGAGACAGAAACATCAATAATGAGAGAGGATCACAACTGGCCGCCTCCTGCAAGCCTCACACTGGGGATCCAGCCCACAACCCAGGCATGTGCTCTGGCCAGGAATCGAATCATGACCTCCTGGTTCAAAACGCTCAACCACTGAGCCATGCCGGCTGGGCTCAAATACAAGTTTGTGGGTTTTTTTTAATATATTTTATTGATTTTTTTACAGAGAGGAAGGGAGAGGGATAGAGAGTTAGAAACATCGATCAGCTGCCTCCTGCACACGCCCTACTGGGGATGTGCCCGCAACCAAGGTACATGCCCTTGGCTGGAATCGACCCTGGGACCCTTCAGTCCGCAGGCCGACGCTCTATCCACTGAGCCAAACCGGTTAGGGGCTCAAATATAAGTTTTGATGGAAATGTTTTACAGAGCAACAGCTCTCAACCACTGAGTCATGGCACTGGTGTAGAACCACGGGTTATAAAGCATGAGTAATTCCCAGTAGTAACATTAAAGGCCAAAGTTTAGGAATTATTTTGTTTTTAAAGAAATATATTGCTATTTCTTGATCCTGCCAAGCACACTCCACCTCACAATCTTTCTTCTTGCTGTTCCCTCTCCTATACCACTTTCCCCCAGATATGTCTACAGAACTTAGTGGCCACTTTCTTTAGTTCCCTGCTCAACTCATTAAGGCCTTCCCTGACCACTTCAGTGATAGACATACGGAGTGTGGGATTATTATGAACAAAAACCTTCCTCCATATTTCAATCTTTTGCTAGACCTACTCAAGTAAAATTTTTCTGTCTTAAAACTTTTAAAAGATATATATGATATTTAAATGAGGAATATATACCTGTAGCTGTTGAAGATCATCTTCCTGAATGTTCTGAGACAAATTATAAATCTAGAAAACATCCAAATTGATACTTTAGCTAATTTCAAACAAACTCAAATAAGCCTAAAGCGCTGCTTTGTACATTTAAAAGTCTGCATATAAAAATATGAAGTCTGTTCAACAGTAATATCACCTGTCCTTTGGAAAACTATCTCTTATATGGTTGAAATAACATAATTCTTCCTTTACAGTTTAAAATATAGTTTTCTTACGTTATTAACAAATCTACATTTCCTATATGATGTCATTTCAATTTCCACTTTCAGACTCTTATTAGAGACTTTATATAAATTTATGACCAAAGTAGAAAAATAGTTTAGGTTCCTTCTTAAGCCTGTAAGAGGTTAACTGATATCTGTGGTCTATAAAGAACATTTATGTATCACCGTAGAAATTCTGATAACAAAACAATAACTAAAACTAGATGTAACCCCTTCATCTTATTTCCTCTACAAATGTGTTTTCCTAGTCGAGTGGTTTTACCTGAACAGAACTAGTCATGGTGCTTAGAGCAAAGATGGTAGCACAATCTTTCACAGTGGACTGGCTGTCAAATGCCCCCTGGGTATCCATCAAAACAACTGCAACCTAAAAAAAGGGGAAATACAAACAAAATATGTTAAAGTGAGAAGGGGGAAATGTACAGGAGAACTTGAGAAATACAGGTAACATTTAAATGAGGCTTAAGCGGCTGCTTATAGGTTTTATCAGAAAAGTAATTATTTAGGTGCCTTGTTTTGAGCAGAGAACCTGCAACCTGGGCATTCCGGCTCAGTTGGTTGGAGCGACACCCCGTGCACCAGAAGGTCATAGGTTCCATTCCCGGTCAGAGCACATGCCAGGTTGCCGGCTTGATCCCAGTTGGGGTGCATATGTGAGGCAACCAATCCATGTATCTCTCTCACATCAATGTTTCTTTCTCTCTCTCTCTCTCTCTCTCTCCCCCCTCCACTCTAAAATCATCAATAAAAGAAAAAATGAGAAGAAATTTTTTAAAAAGACCTAAAGAACTTCTAGAGATGAAAATTCTGTCTGAAATGACAATACACTGAATGGGGTTAACAGGTGATTAGGATTGGTGAATTTAAAGACCTACCAAAAGAAACCATCAAAAAGGAAACAGAGCCTAGCCAGCTCTGCTCGGTGGACAGAGCACTGGCCCTCAGGCTGAAGGGTCCCAGATTCAATTCCAGTCAAGGACACATACCTCGGTTGCAGGCTCAATCCCCAGCCCTGGTCGGGAGGCAACCAATCTATGTGTCTCTCTCACATCAATGTTTCTCTCTGTGTGTCTCTCCCCCTCCCT